GTGTGATTTTCATACCAAAATGAATGAAAGGATAGTTTGTAACAGAGAGGCTTCCACACAAAACCAATCTGGATGAGAAAACGGTGATCCATGACTTTTAAAAATGCCTCAGTGCGTCTAATGGGCAGCGGACTGCTTTGAGGACAGATGAGCCAGCCACCAAATGGGTTTCCTTGCCTTTTCAGAGAGAGATGAATGAAGTCATTGGGCAGTTTAAAGGGCTCCACTTTTTCTTCTCCATCTGTTCCTCCCCAAGAATGAAATCCTTGGGAATCAACTGCGAAATGAATACCACCAAGCCAGTGTAGCGCAGTGGTTGGAGAGTTGGACTACAACTCTGGAAAACAGGGTTCAAATCCCTGCTTGAGCATCAAAACCCTCGGAGTGACCTAGAGCAAATCACACTCTCTCAGCTTCAGAGGATGGCAATGGCAAATCCTCTCTGAAGAAATTTGCATTAAAACCCACTGAGCGACCTGAGGCAAGTCACACTCTCTCAGCCTCAGAGGATGCCAATGGCCAACCCCCTTTGAAGAAACTTGCCAATAAAACCCTATGACAGTGTCACCTTAGGGTTGCCCTAAGTCAAAAATAACTTGGAAGTACACAAGACCACCGACAACAACCTACTTACTGCACAACCTTCCCTCTCCCTTTTGCTGCTGCAGCTGGGAGAAGAGTGCCCAGAATCCCCTGGAGGTTGGTTGCCCCCAGGGCGATCAGATGTCCTCACTGCAAAGGAGGACAAGGCACCATACAATGTAGGACATTTAAGGAGAAATGAAGGACACGACCAACTAAAAGCCCTATTCCAAACAGAGGGCATTTGGGAATTCCTCCTGGACAGACATTTGAAATGTAGGACATGTCCTGGGAAAAGAGGATACCTGGTCACCCTGCCTATTAGTAGCCATGGTGATCATGAACTGACCATGTGTCTGTCTTCATCTTATGGCAAGCCCTAAGGAGAGAACCTATAAAGGTAAACTCATCCTTCTTGGAGGACATTTGGGAATCCCTCCTGGGCAGAAGATGGAGATGGAAGACATGTCCTGGAAAAGGAGGACAAATCTGGTCTCCCTGCCTATTAGCCACAGTGGCTTTGAACCTGACC